TGCCCCCTGTCCGTTAATGGAGCTGATATAAATATAATCAAATACCAGCATGCAATGCAGCCACCTAGTTTATGTGACAGCTGATTGTGTAGCTCCCTTGATTCCCCCCACCCCCTCCACCCCTCTGCCATCTTTCTTTTTTTTAAGTTTGCAAAGAAGAGTCTTTGATCCACAGGCATTTTCTCTCAGTGGCGTTCACGGACTCTACCAGACTCTTCATCCGATTCTTCATCGCCCGTCTTCCTCTATAGCTTCTATACGGCCTAGAAACAGCACACACAGAGAAACAGAAATATACAAAAATGCAGACGAGCCAATGTCGTGCTTGCCTTTCCCACTCCTTTGATCGGTCTTGCTCCTTCGTTTGACACTATTCTGAGAAACATGAAAGATTTTTGAAACAGAAATCATTAACATTCTATAAAATATATCAGCAGTATGGACTCAGAGTGAAGAAGCATAGAGCTATTCATTAAAAAACAAACCGGACTTCCATCTGTAACAGCATATTGTACATCAGTCCATCCATGAGTTGTTGGACTTTCTGTATTTATCTGAAAGCTTCTGCTAAAGGCATACTATCTAAAGCTGACCTACCAGAAACTAACAACATGAATTTCCCGAACTGAAGGAAAAAAAATCAAGTACAAATGTTAAAGTTTATATTTCTGCCAAAAAATGTAAAGCCTAAATTAGAAGGAACCTCACATTGCTCACACTCTTTGACCTTTTTGTCATATGGTAATCAAAAAACTTTATTTGTCTAATTGGGATTTGAAATAGACCAACATCAATTGTTAGAAAATTGTAAATTCGATTGAAAACATACTGTTAATTGTTTGCCACAAGCCATGGAGACAAAATCATCTCATTGGATATATAGGTCTGAATAAAACATTTGCATCTTCACTAAAAAATGATGAGTGGAGGAAAACACTCAGTACATACCAACGCCAATGTGAAACACAGTGGTGACAGTATTATGCTGCAGGGATGTGTGTCTTTAGAAAGAATCAGGAAGTTGTTCAGAGAGGATCAAAAGATGGATGAATCCAAAAAGAAAAATCCTGGAAGAAAACCTTTTGAACTTGAAACAGAAGAGATGGTTCATCCTCCTGCATGACAACAAATCTCACTTTTACAGCCTTAGTCTACAGCTACAGTTCCTTCAGTTGAGGATCTGTGCAAAACTTCAATCCTTATTCTGACAGACTGCAAAAAAGACTAAATATATTTCTTCTTTTATTTACTTTCTTTTTTTTTCTTTTCCAAGAAATGCCTTTTCTATTCTATTCTATTCGATTTCAGTGTAGATCCTATTTATTAGTTGTTTTTTTTTTTACCTGGTTTTGAATAAAAGTTTTTTATTTTGTTTTACTTTTTTGTGATACATAAACCTGTTTGCTTCCTTTTGAACTGTTTCTTTGCCATTAACACATCTGAATAACTTTTTTCTATTCTATTCTATTCTATTCTATTCTATTCTATTCTATTCTATTCTATTCTATTCTATTCTATTCTATTCTATTCCATGCTTTGGGTATTATATAAGACCATGAACAGTTTTTGTTTACTTTCAAGTGGTACAACATGTTTTGATGTTAATGACATCTCATTTCTAAGAATTTTAAAGTCTACAATTTTTTTAATTTCATTTTATTCATTGAAAAAAAAACACTTTATAGGCAGGAAAGTGCAAAATGTTAAATAACTAGAAATAAAATGATCAAGTCTAGAGGAGGGGGGTGGTTATACACGGCCATGTTTGCAAAGAAGCAGGAGCTGCCGTACTCTGGAGCTGGGAGGAAATGCCACTGCAGGTCCTGAATTCAGGGGGAGTGTCTGTTAGCACAGGTCTGTGTCAGTTAACACTAATCTGCCTGATCTCCACCTCAAAGTCCCTCACTCCTCCACATGCAAATAAACATATTCAGGCTTCTCTCAAACCAAAGCCTCTATCAAACACTTGTTTGATCAGCAGAGTGCCTGCGAGCCAGCTCATTATGCATTTTCAAAAGAAAGAGGCAGCATATTGTTGCCAGGGTTTTATGTAATTACTCTCACCTTTAGCAGTAACTGGGAACAATTAGCTCCACATCAGCCTGATGTGTTGTAGGTTTTGAGCTATTATTAGCGCTTCTCGTTGCAGACTGTGCACATATATTGTACTCTTTGCCCTAGATTCAGCACTTTGCATGTCTATTCAAAGCATGAAGTATACCTCACACGCAAAGCACAAGCTTTATTGACTTGAACATCTTACCGTTGTCTAATTTGTCATTTGTAAGCATACTAATGAGTCAGAGAACTGTCTTTGGAATCAATCAGGGTCCAGGACAGTGAACAAACCCAGCTGCATTCTTTTGTGTGTGTGGAGTGTTTCTACACGCGTTCCATTTGAGTCTACGACATGGAGAGGCTGAGTGTTGCCTTCAAACCAGACAAGCCTGAACTGGCAAACAGGTGCTGCAGGAGCAGCTGAGGATGAGGACATTAGGCGTCTCCACATCATCAGATCAAAGTGAAGTCGTCTCAGCCGACAGTCATCCCAGCAGTTTGATTTATGCCACTCTCTTGAATACCTTCATTAAGGCCCGCAAAAAGAAGGTAAAGTTACACAAGTTTCTCACAAATCCTTGCATAGAACTACTGAAACAGAAAAGATCAAACTCTCAAGGTGAAGAACTGGGTTGTGTTTGGTTAGACTTAAAAGACATTCTGATATACAGAAGATAATGCAGCAAAAAAATATTAATTCTTTAAGAGAATTATGATAATAGGAAGTTCAACTTCTCTCCCAGTAAAATAACAAATGCTAGTAAGTTTTCCAACCTGGCAGTCAAAGCTTGGGTCATCTAATGACATCTGATCTCGTTTATATACAATCCAATGAAACCTTTGAACACCAGAAACATTGACTTAATGATCAGACTAAACACTACAAAAAGTGCAAGCCGATAGTTATACCTTTAAATAGAGAATCGACATTTCTTTTCTTTTTTTTCAACTGCACCTGAATAATGCTTTTATTTATGGATAGTAATTTTGGAGTAGTTTTAAGGGCTCTAGCTATAGATTTTTAAACTCAGATTAGATAAGAAACCCATTAAACTGCATCCTTTCAACAATAAGGCAGTACAAACCAATAAGATATATATATTTTTTGTTAGGATATAGCAGCACAAACAGAAAAAAATCAGTCATAATATAATATAATATATATATATTATAATGTTTAAAATTACCAAAGTACTTATTTTAGACCAGACCTGGTGTAAAAGATCAATCTAATTTGCATCATTTGGACTGAAAAGTAATTTGATCATAAAATGCTGATAGATTTTGTTGCTTATCTATTCAACAGTCTGTGCAAAAGTGTCATAAAGTGAAATTTGTTTTGCCAACTCATAAATTATAGCCAATAGTTGGTTAGCTGGTTTCGCATTTCACACACGCTGTAATTGTTGGAAAGGTTATCAGCGTTTTTCTTCATTGCTCAAGAACAAAAGAACATAATCTGCCCCTCCTCCCTGATGTCTGCAAGTGTGCCCTCAAATGCAATTGTGCTCAGGGCATGTAAAAATCTTAGGCTGGCTCCGACATGTACAGAAGAGGCTCTTGTCATAAAATTTTTAAGCACGATTGCTATGAAGTCATTCATTATTACAGAAACGAGGGAAAGATTATGTTTATGTTGCAATTTATTTATCAAAGCCTGACTCAGCGTTTCATACGGGTTCGGTTGAGGGAAAGCATGTCAGGTCGGTTGATTCGTACACTGAAAAGCTCATTTCAAACACTTAAAAATCTTAATGAAATAATTATTAGTAACCAAAATACATTAAACTGCTATTTTCTGCTTAGTGTAGCAGAAGATATATGAGAAGAAAAGTGAAATGACGTGCTGCTGATCAGTGGAGCAGTTGCATACACTGGTATGTGATTTATGTACGGTTTGAAGTGGGATTCCCCATTCCTTCTAAGGTAACAATTTATTTGATATGTCCTTGGAAGAAGCCCAATATGAGACTTTTTTTCTAATTTGTTCTGTCCTGCAGCAAAGCGCTCCCATCTTGATAACCCTGGGTTAATGAAACAAGATTCATACTTTCAAAAGCATAAACACAGCTGAGGGGGAAATAACCTGAAAGAAGAATCTTAACAGAAATACTATTATGCCCATGCTTTGAGCAGACTTTTTTCTTTCCCTTTGAAGAGAGGACAAGAAGAGAAGTGAAGGCCTGGAGAGGGGTGGTAACTGTCATTTATATTTACAGCCTCCCAGACACCTCAGGGGCTCTTATCCAGGTGGCCTCTGTAGAGGCTCTCAGAAACGCTCACACCTTTTCTGAAACTCAGAGTATCAATAGACAGTGGCTGACTTTGATTCAGCCACATAGAGGTTTGTGAGTCATGTGCTTTTGACTGTTGTAACTGGTCGGGTTGACGCTGAAACTTGAATGCCCTCGGGGATGGAGGTATAGTACTCTGCAGAAAGGCTAATAATTCAGAGAGCCCTCTAACGCAGGCTTCTTTTTTTTTTCTTCAAGAAAAGAACATGCAACTATCCAAACTAAATAGGAATTCTCGGTTCAGGCAAATTTTCAATGTTCCCTCATATTATTTAAGCTCAAACCCTAACCTTAACTGTTGAGGGATGAATGAAGTCTCCATGCTTTGCCGCTACTCTGACAGGACTACAAAGGCAAAACTCAATTGCCCGTACATCTATTCAAGACCAGACTTGTGGCTTCCAGCACGTGCATCAGCGCCGATATCAACACACTGCAAAAAATCTAAATCTAGATAAGTCATTTTTTCTTAAAATAAGTGCATTTGTTCTTGAATTGAGAAGGTAAAAGAGACATTTTGCTAATGAAACAAGACAATTAACACTTCAAATATAGAACCACAATTGCATCGTCTTATTTCAAGTGCATATTATCAAATTATCTTATTTTAAGAGTAAAATTACACATTCCATTGGCAAACTATCTCATTAACCTGCTCAAATTAAGGGTGAATACACTTAATTCAAGACATTTTTACTTATTTCTAGATCGTTTTTGCAGTGCACCAGTGTATTTAGTTTTAAAACCTGTGTAGATAATTTAAGTAGCAGCTTTTTACAACAAAAATTAGTTACTAAAAATATCACTGATAGCCTGCTAATAAGACACAACATACATAATTAGCTTTAAAGTGTTCCTCACACTTCAGACTGGCTAATCCTGCCGAAAAATTGTTTAAGAAAGGCAGATGAACTGACCTGGAAAAAGGAGAAATAAGAAAATAAATAAATAAGATTAATATTATTACTGTATCGTACCAGTAAGGAACTGAAAAACCGGCTTAGAAAATTATGAAATCCAAACAATAAGGAACAAGAATGCCGCAGTCTTACTTACTAGTAAGAATAACTAAACATTATAAAACTTTTAAAGCAATAATATTTAACTTTTAAGCAGGAACGATCCATATTTCTTTGGCTACAAATGCTTTTTTTTGTTACTTCCTATTGAAAGGTGATACATAAATGAAAAAAAAAAATTCTTGTGGAGGTGAACAAATCACGGACGGTCTTATCTGTTCCAAAAATAAAGGTTCTTTTTGCATTTTTCTTTTGATATAGTCAAAAATGAATGATAAACAACATGAGTGAGGATGCCACTATCTTGCATGCAACTTAATTCACTTTCTACAAAACGAGATATCTGGTGCAAAACAGTTATTTTTATCCCAGAGGCTTAGTGCATGAACATTTACCAGGTTAGGTTAACTGCAAAGCTAATAATCCTTTGAAAAACATTTTTTTTTTGGTTATGTCTAAGAGAATTCATAAAGTAGGAATAAAGGTTATGTTTTAAAATATTAGTCCTTTAAAAGCATGAAAACATTAGCTTTGAAAGGCTGTCCGATCAACACTCATTGATTCCAGCTTTGCAACAATTAAAACTAAATGTTTTCTTTATTTAGTTTTCTATAAAATTTCAACTTTGTTTTTTAAAAAAGGAAGTATATACAAACACTCATTTGTGCTATGAAACAGCAAGGAAATAAAAAAACCAACAACAGAAAAACAGTGTAGGCAAACATCTTTTCAACACCGAGTGCTTGATTAATTTATGGGTGAGGATTCGCCTCACAATGGTTATTTCATCATGATCTTCAGCCCCTTTCAACGGCTGCTTTCAGTCCAGTTCAAACATATATGACACAGGCTGAATTTCCATGAAAAAGGGCTGAAATCTGTACTCATCTCTCTGACCATTTGCTTCTGTTGTCTGCTGGGGCTCCAACATTGTCCATAATCTGCCTCCAGCAGTACAAGTGTCTTTTAGCCAGAAAGGAAATTATCTATTGCACATTATTTGAATAACGCCGAGGTACATTCAAATGGTTTACTCCGCTCTTATTCTCCAGGGAATCAAAGGATACTTTTATTTATTCCAAGTTCCTCAAAAGGACAAGAGATTAAAAGGAAAAGTAGATTTTCCACAAAGAAAGGCTGCTTTTGTTGGGTGACATTTTTGAAAAAAACTAAACAAAACAAATATATGTTCTCAATGCATGAGCCATAAATTATAAAAGTTAGTTTTGGCTTCCTTTAAACACATGTTGGGGGGGGGCGTGTAGGCTCATACTTGGTGTTGTGCCCTTTGAGGGACGGGTGAGGCTTAATGTAAGGCCTGCTACTCGTGAAGACGCTGGCCGCCTTCCTCCTTGTCCTCTTTTTCAGCTTCCTGCTGAACACGTTCTGCCAGGACTGCAGCGTCTTCGAGGTCCAGATCCACATGCCGCTGGTGATGCCCACCACCAGCAGCATGAAGATCTTCACCATGAAGATCTCCACGGCGGGGATGGAGGCCTTCATGACGCAGTCGTCCGACTCCGGCCCGCTGCCGTCAAAACACTTCTTGTCCTTGGCGAGTATGCGCCAGTAGTCCATGTTGAGCCTCTCGTAGAAATAGCAGGCGATGACGCAGGTGGCGGGGACAGTGTAGAGGACGGAGAAGACGCCGATGCGCACCATCAGCTTCTCCAGCTTATCCGTGTTCTCCCCCTCTGTTTTCATAATCTTCCGTATATGGAAGAGGGCCACGAAGCCAGACAGCAGGAATGAGGTGCCGATGATGAGGTAGCAGGAAAGAGGAATGAGCACAAAGCCTGTGAGAGCTTTGACATCCATACTGCCCACATAGCAGACGCCCGTCAGCTCATCGCCAGCCACCTTCCTCATCACCAGTATCATGATGGTCTTCACGGCCGGGATGGCCCAGGCTGCCAGATGGAAGTAGCTGCTGTTGGCCTCAATGGCCTCGTGGCCCCACTTCTTCCCAGCAGCGAGGAACCAAGTTAGGGTCAGGATAACCCACCAGAGGGAGCTGGCCATGCCGAAATAATACAGGATGAGGAACACAATGGTGCAGCCGGTGCTCTCCAGACCCTCCTGAATAATATAATTCACACCATTGTCTCTGTCGCAGGCTATTCTGTCGGCTCCCACAAAAAGCCGAATGAGGTAGCCCACGGAATAAACACAGTAGGACATGGAGAGGAAGATGATCGGCCTCTCGGGGTACTTGAATCTCTGCGGGTCAATAAGGAAAGTGAGTACAGTAAAGGCACTGGAGACAAAGCACAGGATGGACCAGATGGCCATCCACATCAGGGAGAACTGCTTGTCCCCCTGACTCCAGTATACATCCACTTTGGGGTAGCACTTCGGGGCACAGGATTGACTCTTTTCCACAAAGTGGAATTTGTCTGGATTGCATGTTTGCTTGGTACCACTGTTCTCCAGGTGCAGGTCCTTCCCTGCACCTGAAGGCTGCTGAAGCCTAAAATCTGGAGGCTGAGTGTGGGACACTTTGGGGGGCTCGTCCGATCCGTTGGTCGGCGCTTCCATGCACAGGTTGTTTGGATCGTTTTTGGTCGGAAGACGCGAACAGTCCAAAGAATCTGGCCAGGGAAAATTAAAACTCTCCAGGATCGGGGAGCACTTCAGCTTGACCTGCTCACACATGACCCTGCATGCTGGAATGGGGTTGGACACCTGCTCTGTGCACATGGGAGCATGCAGCGAGCAGAGGAAGAACTTGAGGTGACTGTGGCATCCGAACTGGATGAGCGTCACAAACTCCTGCAGCTTGAGTTCAGCTTCTTTCTGATCATCGTGGCCCATGAGGTTTGGCATGCGAGTCATGTTGTAGCCAATGTCCTTACACATGGGGATGTTGATGTGCTGACATCTCCCCTCTACTGACCAGTCGGGATCTATAGAGCTGATGGAGAAGCTGGCCCTGCTCCACAGCAGCAGCAGCAGTAGAACCGAGAGGATCGGGCTTGGCTTCACAGCTGAACTCATCCTGGCTTTTCTGCTTCAAGAAAAATACAGTCACTTCAGTGCAAAGTTTCTCTCCAAAAATAGATAAATAAAATAAAGAAATCAAATCAACAACAACACCGTAGTAGATAGGAAAAAAAAAACTTACTTAACTATCCACTGCAACATCATCCTCTCCTCAGTTCAGAGTTGAACAAAAACAGGAACCCCGCGATGGAGAGACAGTGTTTCCAGGCTGGAAGCGCGCTGTCAGGTCCATGCTCTTCCAAATGTTCACTTCCGAGGCTGAAATCGTTTTTTTTTCACTTCTCTCTACACTTTGCATGGAATTACCACATGCGCTTTTTAAAATTTCCTTTCTGTTTGGTCCGCCTCCACATTTACAGAGACTTTCTGGGCACTGGGTGCCCTCCGTGCGTGCTGCACTGCGATTTCAGTCCGTGAGAAACAACTTTCAAATGATCGCGGATATAAAGAAATTACTGACGTTTTTCTTTGAGCCCTTTGTGCGAAAATAAAATAAAGTAAGTGAGATAAAAAGGAATTCCTCGATGATGGGAAGAAAAGTGTCCCCGAGACGCAGGAGTGACGCTCCTCCCCGGGGCAGGCGCGCGATGCGTTTGGTGGCTGCGCTCGTCTGAGCTGGTCGGAGACTCCGTCCCGGTCTAACCTGCCAGAAGATCCGCCTTCAAAGACAGCTGCTTTGCATAAGAAAGACGACACTGACACGCAGATTATTTTCAAATCGTGCGGAACAGCTTGTTCAGTGCAGCACTTTCAAAGCCTTGCTGCAAACTTCCTACTCGCTGTTTGTTTGTTCTCTGCAACAAACTTGATAAAATCAAAGAATAAAGAAACTTTTATAATTTTAATGTTTTTTCTTTTTCTTTATTTTTTGTTTCTTTGTTTTTTTTTTTTCAATCCTGAAATACTGCCAGAGGCGTAGCCAGAAAATGTTTATTAGGGTGGCCAGGCAATAACCAATGTACACTGAGGGGTGGCACCAGAACCCCAGGGTCAACCTACACTCTTACAACAGGAAAATTAATGAGCAAAACATCATTTTTTTTTCTAAATAAAGACAAACTATACTTTCCTACAGCCTTTGCTAACAAATAGCCACATATATTTAAACATCCGTGCTTTCTAGATAAAAGGTATAGTGGATAAAATCCTTTCAGGATTGATTTCTGAGGCGAATATCTTATCCATTGTCTTTACTTACCTACTTTTATCAACAATCATTCATAATATCTACATAAATTGATTATTTCAATTTATGTAGATTATACCATTTTCTCTTTACCCCATGAAATACAAAATGTAGTATTCTAGTATTTTAATGTTTATAATTATCGACAGTGTTTTTGCTGTCAAGTAATTGTTAATATATGAAAATTTTAAATGTTTTAAATATTCCACTTGAGAGGATTACTGCTGCCACTGTCTGTATTAGGCCCCGTCCACACGAAGCCAAACCCTGGCCTAAACGCACAAATTTTTCACCAAACCAGCCTCTCATCCACACGAAGCTGGCGTTTCGGGGGTCTGTAAACGATCTTTTTTTTATTCAGCCTTCAGAGTGGGAAGATTTCGAAACGCCGTTTTCGCGTTTCCATCTTTACGCTCTAACCGCATATTTTTTTTTACACGCATGCGTCATAGCGTCGCCTCTAAACACGCATGCGCGACACATCACAACAACAATGGCGCCGTTGCTGCTAATGCTACTCACCCTGCTGTCGGGCTTACAACAGAATCTTCTTCTTCTGGAATATCTCCAGGAAGAACAGAGCAATATCGACGACATAGTTCAGCACCTGAATTTGACTGAACCACGAAAATGGACCCGCAGGGCAACCATGTATAAATATTAGTGCGCATGCCCAACACTTCGTCGCTTATTTTTGCTTTGGCACCACAGCGCCACTTACAGGCCTGGCATACATTTTGCAGCGTTTTCATGCATTCGTGTGGACGCTCACATTTATTTTACGTCTCCGTCTTTACGGCAAACGTTTTGGAAAATATCAGCGTTTCGTGTTCGTTTTGACTTCGTGTGGACGGGGCCTTAGAGGGGAAAAATGGTAGGGGTGGCCACAGGGGTGGCCAATGATTGGCTAAGGGGTGGCCATGGCCTCCAATCTAGCTCCGCCCCTGAATACTGCAAAATCCATTAGCACTTTTATGTGAAAACCTTCAAATGTAATAAATTATCCAGGGCCGGATCGAATATGGTTTGGGTCCCTGGGCTAGAGACAGTTTTTGGTGCCCAACAAGACGACATTAATTTTACAATATATATTCAAAAATTGGAATTATAGCAGACTGAACATTACATGTAATTTTTTTTTATAATGTTTTTCTATTTAGCCAATCTATACAAATAAAGTGGCTCTAAAATTTCCCCACCCTTTTTAAAATAAACGTTTTAGTGATGTATAAAGTTAAACCAGGATAAGTCATTTAAAAACACTTTTTTCATCTATAGTGTAATAAATATATTCTATAGATTTAAAACAAGTATTTTTAGATAATTAGTCTATTTTAGAAATGTAAACAGAAAGGCTGTGTAACATGTTTAGAGAACACACAATTAAACTTATATAAAAAATGTTTTCACTTTAAGCATTTAGCCTTCTTATGTAGAAGCCACATCTTGATCATACAGAATTAACTTCAACAGCCATGTTTGTCTACACAGAGAATGACTTTGATGTTCCACTGTTCCTACTATCATAATCAATTATGTAAACAACAACCCCACTATTTAGAAAGTCTGTTTAGGACAGGGGATAAGAATGGGATTATGAACAAAAACAGAATGACATTTGTTTTATATTTGAGTTGAGATCTCCATTTAGAAGGGGGTTTGGGGTCAGAATGGCCCAATAATTTAAACATTTCAATATTTTAGTACACCTTGACAGAACAAGCAAAACAAAAGTTTAACCGGAAGAAAATCAACTTTAGAATATGATGCTCGCCAAAACATGTTTCGCTCTGGCTGTGATGTCTTTTCACTGTGTGTTTTTTCTTTATTTATTTACAACTTCTTCACATTGTTTGCACTTTTAGGAAATATAGCTCAAGGGTTGAAGTTTGGTTTCATAATATTATAACAAATACAAGTTTTGGGAGATTATTTTCAGACCTAAATGTTTTCTTCGTAGGTCAAAGAATAAACAAGATTGTTTTATATGAACGTTTGAAATTTATTAGTGTTTGTATGAAAGATTTGCAGCCTCTACAGTGTTAATGTCAGCCTCTTTAAAGCACACATAGCTAGTGTCCAATTGTCCAAATATTATATTTTTGCTAAGACCATTTCATCCTGCAACTCCTAAAAACTCTTCTGAACTTTTTTTATTTCTCAGAAAAAAAAAGAAGTTTTTTTAAGTGAATTGTGAGAAAACATGCATATTCTGATAGGACAGATTACCTTTTTCATGCATTAAAGATCCTCTGTAGTGTTATTATGTGGGCTTAACACCCACAAAAACTGTGAATAACTCAAGATATTTTTCTGAGGGTGTCCAAACTTAAGTCTATATTGTTTGGATGTTTCTCATTGTCTGATTTATTTGTTTTTAAGTAAAATGAAATTTTCATGATCATTTGTGTTTACATTACCAAAACAGGCAAATTTAGAGAGCTGTAGGAACCACGGTAAAAATTATATTCACTACTTCCAAAAATGTATGAAAAGCACATTTAAATTCAATGTAAAAAAATCCATTGGTAGGTTTTGCAAAAACTTTAATACTGGTGTGGCGTTACCTTGCTTCCGGGTCCTTTGCAGCATCCTACAGGTAAACGTGAGTTAACTAGATTGAGGCCCCAGAATGAGGCTCCAGTGTGATTACATAAATAATTTCATGAAGGCATTCTATTGTGTGCTTTAGTCTTTGGATTTAAATATGTTTTAAAGTTAATTATGTTCTTAAGCTTAAAACATCAACAATTATCATCTTTATCCTTTCTCATAACATTTAATTAGTATGTAAATAAACTGTTGAATTTAATTTAGATTCAACAACTGCAAGGAGAAATAGACCACTTCTAACTGAGGTCCAACCATAAGGGCTTTTATTTTGAAAAAACAGTAACACGTACAAATAATCCACTTCTTTATTATGTGGTTCACATGTTAATTTTCTCCTTTATCTATGACTTTTCAAAATAAAACATGAGATAAAGAGAAGCGGAGTATGTGAATTAAAATGAATAATATATTCTATAATGAGTAAGACAGCAAATTATTTTATTTTGAAGATTTGTATTGTTTATGAGATTTCTTTACAAAATTTCAAGTCCAAGACAGTCCACGATCTAGAATTTGTGGACAGTACTGTAAGTCTATAAGGCAAATCTGAGGTTTATGTTTTTTTAATCTTTTAATTCTTCCAAACCTTTTTTTTGGAATGCCTTTAGCAATAAAAAATATTGACCAAAATGTTACAATAACTACAAAGCAAACACTGAAAGAAGATGAAAAGCATGAGTTTAAAGGTTGCTGCTATTACATCCAACATACATGTAAATGGGGTTACGCTTATGACATAATTTCTATTATTGTGCACATTTTTTAAACCTACACAAAGAAATCCCTAAATTAGGGCATGTCCTAAGGATGGGCTTATTTGTTTCATTTAGAAATAGATGGGTTAATCCTGCAAGCCAGTAAGGGAAAGTAATGTACTTTGAAATCACTTTAAAATGAAACCAAAAAACTATAATAATAAAATGATGAAGATTTACTTTAACTTCATACAACTGCTGACACTGTAAAAAAAGAGAAAGAAAGAAAAGAAGAATCTGTTTTAATTAAAACCCTGTTACAGCTCATAAGCATCTGCAAAGTTTGCATGTACTCTAAGCTGGCTCTGCGTGTAGGCATTCTGTAATGTGATAATATGGGCATGGCTGGAAAACACCTGAGTCACCCAAGCAAGATATACATGCACAAAATAAGGATGTTGATAAAACCACCTCCCCTCTTATATGTCTAGGATTGGAGTGCTGTGGCCAATATTGTCACTGCAAACACCTTGGATTCATTTCCTGCCTTTTTTTCCATTGAAGGAAGTGCACACATAAACAAATAAGGAGAAGCAGGCTTTGTTCATTCTTAACAGACATTGCTCTCCCAGAGAGGAAAAGCTTGCACTAATACTTTAGGAATTACTTTGTCTTTTTAACTGTAACATCTGTGTTCTCATCAGATCTGGACTCTGCTTTTTGTGGTTTTGCCCAGAAGTACACATCTAAAGCCGTACTTTGAAAGGAGTTCTTTATTGGCTGTTAAAGTGGTTCATGTGACTGATCAATCGGGTATTGTCATCTCATATGGTCACATTTTTTTGTCCTCATGTTAGTGAGCTTGCTGGATACCTCAAAGTAGGTGCAAGTTTTCCTGCACTCTTCATTGGCTTGCTTCACCTTGTTGGATGAGGGATAAATGCATTTTTAAAGGACATAAAAATAACAAGAATATAACAAAGGGTTAACTTGATGTTACTTGCAAGTAATATCAGCTTGATTTTTAAAGATACCTTCATGTCTTTAAAATGAGGTGATCCATTTTGGCAGAACTAAAAAGGTGATGCAGCCATTTAAACCCCAGGGATTCATCTCCAACTTCCTGCACAAA